GAACACATGGGACTTCAAAGGCATCGCGCAAACGTTCTTCACGCGCTGCGGCAGCTTTGATCTTGGTTCATTTGCATAGCGCTGCGTGCGCGTAGCTTTTTCGAGTGATCTCCTTCTCATAATACCTCCATGGTTTTAAGTACTTTATCTGGTAATGTAGCAAACATCTCGACCCTTCTAGTATTACATCTGGATTAAATATTTTCAAATCTGATCATGAATCTTTGTCTATTTTATATACATTTCAGTGCAATAATAATAATGATAATTTTAATAATAATGATAATAGACTTTTATACAATTTTAAAAAACTCAATTTTAATGTCCTTGTAAATACTTAAAATTTTATTCCTTGGAACATTGTTGATTTAACTAATGATGTTAATCAGGGCCACTTCTTTATTTTATGATTTACTCCATGCAACAATCTTGTTCCTGTGTTTAAACCAAAAAGAAAGCTCCCACCTTGGTTTAATCATGAATTATACAAAGCTTTAAAACTTAAGGAAAAATTATTTAAAATTAAGAAAAGAACTAAAACTCGACTTGCTGTTGAAGATTTTAGAATGGAGAGAACAAATTTAAAAAAAAACTTTGTAATCAGCGGTACTGATGCTCTTTCAAACGATCTGAACATCAATTCTAAAAAAATTTGGTCCAGTGATTAGAACATCACGGAAGTCATCAACTTTGCCCTCTGTCCTCCATTATCAAGGTCAAGTCCATGCCAGCTCTTTGAAAAAAGCTAATGCTTTTAGTATCTACTTCAATTCATTTTTTAATACTAATAATAATAATAATAATAATACATCTTCTCAGCAGTCTCAATTCCCTGAAGCTCCTGATCTTCCTGAGTACCCCTTGGACTATCTTTCCTCGGTAACCGTCAGTGCTGATGCAGTTTCAGGTCATCTAAGTAAACTTTGTGTACATAAGGCCGTTGGCTGTGATGGTATCAGTAACCATTTGTTTAAAGCTGGTTCTGTTCCGCTTTCTGTTCCCTTAAAAAAAATAAATCATTTGATTTATTTCTTTCCACGGGCAAATTTCCTGATGTCTGGAAACAAGCTAATATTTGTCCCATTTTCAAGGGGGGTTCCCGTAATGAGATTACTAATTACCGTCCCATTTCACTGCTCCCGTCTCTTTCCAAAATATTTGAACGTATTTTTTTTAATCAAATTTTTTCCCATGTTTCTCCTGTTTTAAGTTCATTTCAACACGGGTTTATTCTAGGTAGGTCAACTCAAACTAATCTTGCTAGTTTTTTACCCACCGCACTTAATGCAATCAACTCTAAATTACAATGTGACATTATATTCACAGATTTTTCCAAAGCTTTTGACTGCATTTCCATTCTCAACTTATTTTTAAAATTCAAAAATTTGGTATCATTGGTCCCCTTCTTAGCTTAATTTCTGATTATTTCTCTAATCGCAGTCAACGTGTGGTTATTGACAATTTTTGTTCTAAATCCAAACCCGTTCCATCTGGCGTCCCCCAAGGGTCTATCCTTGGTCCTTTATTTTTTAATTTATTCATTAATGATCTTCCTTATTTTGTCAATAACTCACATTGCCTTATGTACGCTGATTATCTGAAGCTGTATCGTATTGTCGGGACTGAGATTGATGCCAGGGGTCTTCAGGAAGATCTTGATGCTGTTGTTGCATGGAGTCGGCACTGGGGTCTTTCTCTCAACGTCTCCAAATGTAAATCAATGTCTGTCTCTCTTAAATTAAAACCTTTATATTTTCCTTATAAAATTGGGGGTATTGTTTTAGAAAAAGTTTCTGTTCATTGCGATCTGGGTGTCTTCATCGATTGTAAGCTTACATTTGGTAAACATATTGATCATATTATTCGTAAGGGAAACAGAATGCTTGGGTTCATTTAGAGACATTGCAGAGAAATAAATAGCCCTGGTGCCATTATTGCCTTATATCGTTATTTAGTTACTTCTCATTTTGAATATTGCTGTGTTATTTTTAGTTTTGCATCCGAATCTCAGTTAATTCGCATCGATAGGATTCATCTTAAGTTTATTAGGTTTTTTGAAAAATATTTTAATCGCCCTTGTAAATTAATGTGCCCTAGGAATAGATTTTTATTTCACGGTATGGTTTTTCTCTATAAATGTGTTAGCTCGTACTTTAATTGTGATCTTGTACATCTGTTTGGTTTGCATGTTAATTCTAGAAGTCTTCGTTCCTGTCCTACCTTTAATGTCCCCTTTTGTAGAGTTGATGTCTGTAAACGTAGTTTTATTTCTAAACTTTCTCTTCAATATAATTCTCTTATTTTAACCTCTAATACTGTATTGACATTTTTTTTTTCACAATAGTTTGTCTATATTTCGTTCTATTATTATCAATCATTTAAATAGGTGAGATTTTTGTACTCTTTCGTCTATATATTTGATATATTTAAATTTTATATATTTTACCAGCCTGTTAGTGGCGATGATTCGCTGTTGGTCTGTTGAAATGAAATAAATAAATAAATATTGTTAATAGTGGCCACGTAATAATGCTCTGTTTTAAGTACTATATCTGTTAAATCTAGAAATAACAGGTTAATATAAAATTTTTAAGTACTTTTTCTTGAATATTTTTAATGGTGGCCGCGTATATAACGCTAGGTTTTAAATACTTCTTCTGGTACCGGTAATATTTTTTAATGGTGGAACGTACATAATGCTTTGTTTTAAATACTTTATCTGGTAATATTTTTAATAATGACCATGAAAGTATAGAATGCTCTGGTTTAAGTACTGTATCTGGTAAATGTGTAAATAACATTTTATTATAACATTTTTAAGCACTTATATAACGCTCTGTTTTAAGTACGGTACTTTTTCTGTTAATATTTTTAATGGTGGACACGTATACTATAAAAGTATACGTTAAGTACTTTATCTAGTAATGTTGTTAATAGTGCCCACGTATATAATTCTCTGTTTTAAGTACTGTATCTGGTAATATGTTTAATGGTGGCCGATTATAATGCGTTGTTTTATGTACTTTATCTGCTAATATTGTTAATGGTAGTCACATATATGCTCTTTTTGATAACAGTTATGTACATATGTAACTATAATATAAATATTGGAATTCATTATCTACATTTAGCATGTTTTCTATATTTTTTTTACATAACTTGTAGTGAATGTTGCAATCAAAATTACTGTAATTAAAATTTAATTACAGTAATTTCTAAACGACATTCAATTATTATTTCATTTTAAAATAATTGTTAATACTAGGCCTACTAATAATATTATGAATACATTTAATACCATAATTATTGATATTATTCATATAATGTGATAATAATATTACTAAAATGTTTATTACTATAAACTAAATGTTTATTACTATAAGTACGACTGTTATTATTTGAAATGACATTACCGTACTCGCACGAACAAGCGCCCGGGCGCTTAAAATATTTTTTTGCACTTTCTGAGGGGCGCTTATTGAAACGGGGCACTTATTTAAACGGGGCGTTTAAGAAAACAGAGTGGAAATTGAGGGGGCGCTTATGGAAATAGTTGAAAATCGAGGGTTTCTTATGAGAAATTATTAAATTCAAGAGGCACTTTTTGAATGAAAAGGACATTACTACGAATGATCGTTAGGTGGAAAAGATAATCTTCCAGAGAACATGGCTCATGACAAGAATGCGTGAATATTTACATAACAGCAAAATAGCAGATGCAATGTAAGTGGTGGTGGGTAGCGGTTAGCTTGTTGGCCATCGGCCGACTGAGATCAGCAGGATGGCAGGATCATTGTATTTCTTCTCTCGAACTCAGATGAGAATGTGCTAAAGGTCGGGAAAAGAAAAAGGGGAGTAGGACTAGGCATAGACAAATAATGTAAAAAATAGTAAAGTTGGAAATATACTGCCCAGGGATCGGAGGTCTCATCTGTCCAAGACCTCATTTGGATATTGACCTAATAAGATTATGTTTCCACTCT